TGTTTTAGTAACAGAAGCCATCAGTAATACCTTTGCTTCTACCTTCCATTGTAATGATATGTTGAAATAGGGATAAGGGTACAACGCAAGGATGAAATTAGAATCAATGCTTCACAAGCCAAATTCTTGATTCCTTGCCCTTCCAGAACACAGCAATTTAGAATTTCACACTAATATGTTGAAAACTGGGAAATTACTGCTGAATCCCTTCACATCCCTTTCACATAATAAAGAGCAAATTTACAGCTATCCTTAAGATCTTCTCCTTAAGTATAAATAGGAAATAAGGGCACTTTGTAGGCTAAACAGTTTTTTTTTCCCCCTGAGGGTTTTTCTAGATGGACATATGAAGATACTAGTCTTCAAGTTTATATCAAGGTTCTCTTGATGGTAAGAACTTGTTAAAATACTCTTAAGTACATAGCCAGTCGTAGATGGTTAAACACCTACCTATTATATATAATTCTATTTTCTAGATTTGATGCTCTGTGCTGCAGTTAGGAAACCATTGCTGATAGTGGAAACCAATAGCTCTACAGAAAGAAAAGGATGCACAACTCAAACATTTAAAAAAGAGTTCCAGTTTAATGGGCTTTAGATAGAAATAAGTTTAGGATTGCAGCCACTGAGAAGAGAGATACAAAGGATCTAGAGTCAGAAGACTGTTCGTGAATTCAAAGTAATCTGTTTTCAGTTATAGCATGAGGTAGATTTATTTCAAATGTTTTAATCCTGTACTTCATTATACAGACTTGTTTCAGCTGCCATCAAATATGTAGTTATATTTAACTGCATCATTATTTTTTTTCCTGCCACACTGAACCCCAAATCAGTCAACCACACTTTAGCATAGTATGTTCTGCAAACCCAATCCTTGTAATTAGTTTATAGTTTAGTGTATCATATGTACCAAACTAATTCCTCCATTAACATTTATCTAATGTTTTATTTTAGGTCTACCCACAGACCTAAAAATGTTAAAGTAATCAACATACTTTACTCACTTAAAACAAATAATGAAATAAATCTTGGATTATTTCATTGTTTCTGCTAAGCATCTTGGCTAATTGCCAATACAGTGGTACCTCGGGATACGAACGCCTCTACAAACGAACTTTTCGGGTTACGACCAGCTCCAGCCACAAAAATTTACGATGTGCGAACTCCGCCTCGGGGTACGGCCATTTTTCTGCCCTGACACATGGTCTGCGGCCATTTTCCCGCCCCTGACACGTGGTCCGCGGCCATTTTCCCGCCCCCGCCGAGTGGCACCCGGCCATTTTCCTGCTGCGCCGTGCGGCGCCCGGCCGTTTTCATGCCCCGCCATGCGGTGCCCGGCCATTTTCCTGCCCCTGACGCGTGGTCCGTGGACACCAGAACAGATTAACGGTAATTACAG